CATACATATATAATAGCATACATATATAATAGCATACATATATAATAACATACATATATAATAACATACATATATAATAGCAGACATATATAATAGCATACATATATAATAGCAGACATATATAATAACATATATAATAACATACATATATAATAACATACATACATCTGTGCTGTCCTACTACAGTTCCTTAAATTTCACATTAGTCACGCGGTGGCCCACTGACCAATTACGCCGCACGTTAATGCTGACGTACTTAGGAGGCTACCCCAGTGCCACTGGCACGTCAAAGAATATGCCCAACATGTCAAACTAAAGATCTGATTGGTTGGAATCTATGACAGTCAACAATATCGTCCCCATTCACTTAAACTGCAAAGTCTCTCGAGAGGACCTCGGGCCTCTGTTCTTACCTAGAGACACAGAGGTGAGATCTGATTGGATAAAAGCTCTACTTAAAACAAGCTGCACTGGAAGCAGAGCAACTGAGGAAGACAGTAGCTGTGCAATGAGAACATAAGATAATGGGAAAAATATTATAATACATGTAGTGTATTTATGAAAAAATATTAGATTAGAAAATATAACTTTGTGATTCTGTTTAGGCCAGCAGAGAAGGCTTAGCTGGCCCTGACGGCCCACCACTGTATATAATAACATAACAATATAATAACATAATATAATAACATACATATATAATAACATGCAGCGTGTTTATTACCGTCCACTCGCTGCTTCAGTGGGAGTTAGTTTGTTTTTGGAACAAGTCTCTTCATGTCAGAACAACCTCAGTACTTCTAGTTCTACTTCTAGTTCTAGTTCTACTTCTACTTCTAGTTCTAGTTCTAGTTCTAGTTCTACTTCTAGTTCTAGTTCTACTTCTAGTTCTACTTCTAGTTCTACTTCTAGTTCTAGTTCTACTTCTAGTTCTACTTCTAGTTCTAGTTCTACTTCTAGTTCTACTTCTAGTTCTAGTTCTACTTCTAGTTCTACTTCTAGTTCTACTTCTACTTCTACTTCTAGTTCTACTTCTACTTCTACTTCTACTTCTAGTTCTACTTCTAGTTCTACTTCTAGTTCTACTTCTACTTCTACTTCTAGTTCTAGTCATTTACATTTGTATCTTTCTGCAAAACGAGTCCTGCAGGAATGAGTCCTGAACCCAGACATGACTCAGCGTTTTATCACTTCCTGTTCCCATGCAGGAAGTCAAAGTGTTTCAGTTTAGAAATACAGTCTGTGTTTAACACCAGACTGTTGTCTGATTATAAAACAGGTCAGTGAACGCCCCTCTGGTGGATCTTAAACAAAGAGTGTAAATGGAGGAATCTGATTGGCTGAAATTAGAACAGAGTAACATAAAGATGCTTTATGACCACTTCCTGTCTTTCAGGAGTTTATCCTGTCAGAAGACTACAACAAGATGACCCCAGCCAGCACCTACCAGGGTGAGACAGGAAGTGTGTGTGTGTCTCTCTATATATATATATATATATATATATATATATATATGTTTACAATGCAAGGCGGAGTTTGAAATCTTTACGCAAATAACGTCCTGACGTGGAGTTTGACGTTATTTGCAACTCAGAAAAACATGTTTGAATCAATAAAAGGAATTCATAACCTCTGAGGCACAAGATCCTGATTTCACTATTTTAACCGGTTTGCAGCTGGAGCTTCATGATTCTACACCTGAGATGTGTTTAGTTATTCCTGTCCAGTTCTGCAGGCTTAACATGTTGATTACACACTGTTTTAAATTGTTGACACTCTGTGTGTGTGTGTGTGTGTCTGTGTGTGTCTGTCTGTTTGTGTGTGTCTGTGTGTCTGTCTCTGTGTGTGTGTGTGTGTGTGTGTGTGTGTGTGTGTGTGTGTGTGTGTGTGTGTGTGTGTGTCTGTGTGTGTGTGTGTGTGTGTGTGTGTGTGTGTGTGTGTGTGTGTGTGTGTGTGTGTGTGTGTGTGTGTGTGTCTGTCTCTGTGTGTGTGTGTGTGTACAGCCCATCAGGGCAGGGTCACAGTGGTGCTGTTTGTGTTGGAGATGGAGTGGCTTCTGAGCACCGGTCAGGACAAAAGCTTCAACTGGCACTGCTCAGAGAGCGGCCAGCAGCTGGGGACGCACCGCACCGCCGCCTGGGTGTCCGGCCTCCAGTATCCTCTGATTATATTGTGACAACAGTCCAGTTCAACACCACAGATGTTGAGATTAGCTAACAGTTAGCTTGTGCTAATGGGAGAGCTAACAACAGGCGTGCTGTGCTGAAGGAAGCATCAGGCCTCAGCCTGCTAGCCTCCACATGCTAACCTTAGCATAGCAATAAAATCAGAAGTTTCTTCTTCTTCATGGACCTTAATTCTGTCCCCGGTTTGACGTGGAGACCAGACACGCCTTCGTAGGAGACCAGTCGGGTCAGGTGACCATCCTGAAGCTGGAGCAGGACAGCTGCAGCCTGGTGACCACCTTCAAGGGCCACACTGGTACACACACACACACATATACACATACACACACACACATACACACACAGATACGCACACGCACTTACACACAGACACACACACATACACACACGCACAGAGACACACGCACAAAGACACACACAGACACATACACACATATACACACACACATACACATACACACACAGAGACACACATACACACACACAGCCACACACACATACACACACACACAGACATACACGCACGCACAGAGACATACATACACACACACATATACACACAGCCACACACACATACACAGGGACACATACACACACACACAAACAGACAGACAGACACAGACAGACAGACACAGACATACACACACACACACAGACCCATACACACACGCACAGAGACACACATACACACACATATACACATACACACACATCCACACACACATACACACAAACATACACACACACTCGCGCTACACAACATGAGCTGCAACAGCTGGTTTTTGCACAATATTTCAATAAGATAAATGATCGAGTACCTGAAGGCATCATGCTCATAACTGTGTTGTGTGTGTGTGTGTGTGTGTGTGTGTGTGTGTGTGTGTGTGTGTGT